TAGGAATGGGGAAAAAATAAGAACCAAGATGCATTATGTAAAGGTACAATTCCCAATGAGAAATGTAATTGTGTTGTATACCTAAAATGTACCAATAAATGAATTTAATCAAAAAAAAAAAAAGAGTTACCTCAGTACATCTGAAAATGCTTCAACTCCATACTTGGAGCAACTGTAGGGTCCAGAAAAGAAAGCAAGTCTTCCCATAAAGCTGGAGACATTGACGATCCTTCCCCGTGCTCTCCTCACCAAGGGAAGCACGCTCAGAGTCACTTCGATCAAACCAATGAGGTTCACTTTGAGGACATTCATAAAGTCCTCCATCTTCTGCCACTCACTGAGGGTCATCGCACTGACAACACCTGCATTGTTAACCAGGCCCCAGAGTCCTAAAACAATAAAAGTCAAGTCAGAAAATGAGTTTCAGATAAAAATGATGACTAGTTACTTTGACTAAGTTACCTACTAAGAACAACTAAAAATGCTAGACAAAATATCTTTTTAATTTTTAAGTGTGTCTATTAGTTAACAAGAAAGTAAGATAAATAAATAATTTAATGTTAGGGCAAAATCTAAGGCAAAAATCCAGGGGATAAGTATAGCACTGATTCCTGGCTTTTGATTTGAATGAATTTGCAAACCATTACGAATTTGAACTTCACCTAAGCTACAGAATGTAATCAAAGACACTTTCTTCATTAAATGGATATACTATCAGTTTAAGGGTGAGCAGCAAGTCCTTTGAAGGTAAATTTCTCTGTCTTGAGCTTTGGGGTAGGGAAAATGAAGAAAGAATCACCACTATGGGACCTCAATCACAAACCATCCCTCATAAGAGTTTGCAGCCCAAATCAGCACTATCCCAGGGGTCTAAAAGACCTCAAGCCAAGAATTATGTTTAAAATGGTCATGGGCTGTCAGTGCTCCCAGGTACCTGACAAGCAAACAGATATTCTTTGGAGAAATCTATCTCTCACCTCAAGGAAACAGCAGAAAGTTACTAAGAAAAGCAGTAGCACATTGTCATATCACTAAATATATAAGGAGAAAAAGCATATGAAAGAACCACCAGAAACAAATGGCGGTAGAAAAAGACTCTCAAAGACTTTAAATACTAGAATCACAAGACACACATGACAAAATAAATACAGTAAATACAATTGTAAAAAAAGAGATCACAAAGGTTAATAAGGACAAGATACTATAAAATGGTTGAAGCAGATTTGGGAAATGAACCAAACAATTTATAAAAGTATAAAAATCTAAATTTTAAAATTTAGTGGATAAGTTGAATAGTATATATTCATAAGATAAAAGAAAGAGTAATAAATTGAAGACCAAAGTTATAAAACATAGAGCCAGGCATCCCAGCACTCCAAAGGCTGAGGTAGAAGGATCACCTCAAGTTCTAGTCCAGCACGGTCTACATAGTGAGTTCAAGGCCAGCCTGAACTAAATAAGGAGACCCTGACTCAAAAAAAAAAAGAAAAAGATATAGAATACAACACAAGGAAAAAAGAGACATAAAAAGGAAAAGGAAAAAAAAAGAAACAAGAAAGGTATTCATTTAGGCTGAGGCAGAAGGATCATAAATTCAATGCCCTCCTGGGCAACTTAGTAAGACCCTGTATCAAAATTTTTTTAAAAGGGGATGTAGATAAGCTCAATAGCAGTTTGTCCCGATTTAAATGCCAATTTGAAAAAAAAAGGAAAAATATCACCATATGTCTAGTCAGACCCAGAAAGAAAAGAGAGGGAAAGTGAAATACACCCAATATTTGAAGTAATAATCACCAAGAATTTTGCAGAACTGATAAAAGCCAATAAACATAGACTCAAAATAAAACAAACAAAAGAAGCAGTAAGAATAGATTAATCCACAGGTAAACACACCAAAATAAAGATCAAATATTGGGTCAGGGATTTAGCTCAGTGGTTTCGCCGCCTGCTGTGCAACCGCAAGAACCCAAGTTCAATCCCCGGTACCCCCCCCAAAAAAAGATCAAATATCAAAGAAAGAGAACACCCTTCAATACACAGAAATAATAACATGTTGAGAGAAAATAACTGTAAACTTAGAACTGCATGTCTAGCAAAAAATATCTTTAAAGAATGAGGGCTAAATAAAGACTTTTTAAGAAATGTTAAAAAAAAAAAAGGGAACAATTTGATCCAATATCCTCTCAATTCTGAAGGCTGAAAAAAGTATTCAGTCAGGAAGAAAGTAATTTTAGATGGAAGATTCGAGCTAGGTGTGGTGGCTTACTACTGTAATCCCAGCTGCTTTGAAGGAACACAAGATCAAGATCAGCTTGGACAACTTAGCAAGACTCTGCCTCAGATAAAAATAAAAAGGGAAGGGACATAGCATAGTGGTAGGCCATGTGCCCAGAACATATGAGCCCTGGATTTAAACAACAGCACCAGGAGGAAAGAAAGGCAAAATGAGCAAAGAAAATATTAGGTAAGAAATAAATCTAAAGACACATTATATATTGTAGGGCAAAAAAACATAATTACACAGTGCTGATACAATGTGTGTCAGGAAAGACAAGGATTCCAGTTATTCTGGGGGGGGTCTTGATTTACTCACAAGAAGGACAAAAATACAAATCAAATTTTATACTTCATAAGTTGAATATGGAGTTAAAATTTCATTTTTCTTTTTTGAGACAGGGTCTTGCAGTGAATCTCAGACTGACCTGGAACTTGCAATGTAGCCCACATTGGCCTCAAATTCCCAAAATCTCTGCCTGCCCCGCAAGCGCAAGGACCCAAGTTTGATCCCCGGTAACAAAAAAAAAATCATTTGATTAGGCCTAGTTCTCCTGCCTACAGGCCACCTATGGCATTTTAGGGCTGGGGATTTAGCTCAGTGATTCTGCCGCCTGCCTTGAAAGTTCAAGGTCCCGAGTTTGATCCCCGAAACCAAAAAAAAAAAAAATCCCAGATCTCCTACATCAGCCTCCCAAGTACATGCAGCTAAAATTTCTAAAGGAACCACTAATGAAATAAAAATAACATTTATTTTCAATATAATTGTAGAAAAAGTGGAATAAAAAAATTCAACCATGACCTGGGGGCATAGCTGAGTGGTAGATTGCATGCTTAGTAAGTGGAAGGCCATAGGTTCAAACTCCAGCACCAAAAAAAAAAAAAAAAAAGTAATTCAAAAGACAAAAGGGAAACAGAAAAAAATGTGAGGCAGGTGGCAGAACCACTGAGCTAAATCCCCAGCCCAAAAATGTGACAGAAAGTTAAAATAAGACAAAAAAATGAATCCAAACATAATAATTAAGCAGAGATGAATGGAATATTCTAGTTAAAAAATAAAAAGTGTCCCCTGAGACTCAACGAAAATAAAAACTGTCACACTGAGGATGAGAGCAGAGCATTGCCAAGTGTGCACAAGGCCCTGCATTCCACTCCTAGCACTATAAAAAACGAAGGAAGGAAAAAAATAAAGAAAGGAGAGAGTAAGAAAGAAAAAGAATGATTGACAGATCAAAAGATTCATATAAAATATGGAGATACAGAAAGGTTAAAAGTTTAAAAATTGAAAAAGGCTCTGAAATAAAGTCCTCAGTATCAGATCATAAAAATAACACCATACACTGAAACACCAGAAAGAAAGAAGAAGAAAAAAACACAGAATTTCTGAAAAAGAAACAAGAATTTAAAGAATCTTCTTCAGACTGAGGCACTTACAAAGCTTCCAGATGTGAAATCCAGCAGGCATTTGGAAATTCAAGGTGAAGAGTAAAAAATAATTTGGAATCAAGGACATAAAGGTAATAATTGATAGGAGTCTTTCGGGAAGATGGCAGAGCAGTGAGCAACAACCAATCAGCCTCTCCAGGATTTGGAACCCAGATACTGGAAAAAGAAAATATAATTCCCGGGAAGAAATGGAAGGATATGAAGTCCTAGGACCCAGGGAAGATCTGATGGGAAAGCTGTGGCCTGCAGAGAAGTTGAAGAAACAGAATTTGATGTGGAAAAAGGAAGAGGCAATCTGCACTTTCTCCTTGGCTCTTTACTTACAGCTTGTGAGAGAAGAGGACCAATTCTCCAAGAGACACAGTGAAAGTAGGGGGTCTCCAAAAACCTTCAAGGAAAATTGCAGTAGTGGAATGGACCAGAGGATGCTGTGAGCTGAAACCCTTGGTAAGTGACTCCAGCCCAAGCACCTGCCATATCTCCTGAAGTGAGGGCTCAAAATACCAGGCAAGGGGCCAACTGAGCCCAGGACTCAGAGTGGCCATGGGTTGGCTTTATTTCAGGGCTTTCAGATTTATATTCCCACAGGGATTGGGTGAGAGTCAGCAATGGGAGACATTCTTGGTCAGGTAGCCATGATCAAGCCAACCAAAGACACAAAGAGTGTTTTAAGGCCCTACCTCCATGGCCAGAGGCCAGATATGGCCTGAATCTCCAGGAATTCAAAAGCCCCAGAATTGGCACCTCCTCCCTAATCCTGTTGCCTTCTTGCTGGTGACTATACCCAGCACAGACATGGGCGGTGACTGACTTCTTTGTCTACCAATGAGAACAAGGATATGTCTTGAATTGGCCCCAGAACCTTATACCAGAAGATAAACAGGCATTTGATATCACAGAGAAATTCTTTTTTGTTATTGGTTTTTGGTTTTTTGGTTTTTGGTTTTTTTTTTTGGTTTTGGTTTTGGTTTTTTGGTGGGGTTTTTTGCTTCTGTGGTTTTTGTTTTTTTTTAAGTCTAAGCATTGTTTTTACTTTTTTGTTCATTTGTTGGTTGGTTTGGTTCTTGATTTTTTTTTTCCCTCTCTCTCTCTTCTTTTCTTCCTTCCTTTCTTCTTTAACAGTTTCCAGGGGCTTAGGTAACCTTCCTTTGTCCCTTGCCTTGCTTCTAATCTCTTTTTCTTCACTATTTTTTCTTCTTTTTTCTTTTACTTTTTCTCCCTTTAGGTATTTCTCTCTTATTTTAACTCTCTACATAACTTCTTTCTTTTTTCCTCACTCTTTTATCTCTCTTTCTTGCCAATTTTTTGTCTTCCTTTATCGAATTAGATAGCTCTCTACTCTACAATAAGATCTCTTAAACTATTTTTCTTTCCTTCTTCTTATATCATAGAGTTTAAAGTTTCAAAATTTTTCTCTTGCATTCCCCCACTCCCAAACCTATATTTTTAATAGTATAACCATAAATCTTTGTTAATCTTTTGATACTTAACTCTGTAAAATTATTGTTGAATTTTCTAGCATTAGCAAAGACATAGTTGTTGTATTTAATACATAATAGCTATAAGTCAATACTTAGGTTGTCTTAATGTTTTCTTCATAATTGCTGACTTTTTCTCTAGGAATAAGGGTGGTACAAAATTGGTTTTTATGGTATGTTAATATCTAATT